GATTGCTGCTGTGTTCTCCGCTCCATTAGCTGAAGACCCTGCACTTCCTGAACTTATTCCACTTTCTGCTACATAAACTGCAGGCTGGAGAATGTAGAGAAGTAACTAGAGTTAATGCACCATAATGTAACATAGACTCAAGCCTACAGCAACGAAGAGAGGAGAGAAACAAAAGATCCAAGCCTTGTAACAGATGGCTACAATATGCATTAATAATTCTTACTGGCCATGTGCCCAAACTGAACTAACATGTGTCTAACATTTCTATGGTTCACTTAATCTTCCATATGGAATTTAAGGGATTGATCATACCCTATTGCAATTGCACAGGCTTTTCAAACTCAAGTTCAAAAGCAATCCTAGATACTAGTTATAAACAAACATGCAACAAACAGCCCCCTTAAGTTTCTATACAGAAGGATGAGCAGTGCATCATTTGGAGAGAGAGAGAGAGAGAGAGAGAGGGAACATAACTCTCTCTCTCACACACACAGACATATACAGATATGCAACAGTTCCTTAATAGAGAATATCTCTCTCTCTCTCTCTCTCTCTCTCTCTCACACACACACACACACACACATAAAGGCACAAAGAAAGCTTAAAACGGTGTGAGTTACATTGTGCCTTGGCGTATGAAGTATGCCAATTAAGTGTTCTGCTCAACATTTTCAGCTTAATTCTAACTAAAACCACCATGTCCTGAGGCAAGACTTATTTACTAGTTCAAAAAAACATGGCAAAGAGAATGGTGTTTACTATTTTCATGATAAAAGCTTTCTACTTCTGCCATTGAAAAGAAGAAGGGTAATAAGCTAATAATACATCAGTTTTGACTTTTGAGTACCAGTGAATTCATGTTAACTCAATGCGTATCTCCTCATGTACAAATAAAATTTACTTTCAAAATTTTCCAACATACAGAATCCAGAAGTTTGGTTCTGAACTGAAAGTATTTCTATTATTAAAATATCTTGTGAAAAAAGATGTCAACTTTGGTTTTACATTTTTCTGTTGACATTGATAAGTTTACTCAGGCAATCCTTGTTACTGACTAGTAAATCTAATAGTTCATCTCTTAAACTCAAACTCTGAATAGAATTTTTACAGTTTTCTTCATAATTATCATTCTGTCTGTCCAACTACAACACATGTTACTTTGACATTTGAAAATTAAGAAATAAAGCATTCATTCATCAAAGGAAAGAAAAAAAGAAGAAGGGAAAAACAACATTGAATGCAAAAATCTTGCACATTTTGAAGACATAATAGTACTAACCTCAACAGAATATATGTTTGTCTGGCCAGCGGTGTCCTTCTCAACATATCCAGTCCAACCACGTTTGCGGGGTGGAAATGTCCCAGAAACTTTTGTCTTCTCAACAGCCAACCATTCCACGCTGACCTTTCCAACCTATTCATGCCACAAGAAAAACATCAGTGTATATTTATTTAGTTATTATTTTCTGTCAAGTTTAATGCAACTAACTATGCTGTACATAGTGTTACTGATAAACTTGGCAATTACCTTAAAAACCAACTGTACTTAATTGAGGGTGGAAGAAACAGAATTTCCCAACAGAGAAAAAGAATGAAAAAGAAACAATTGAATTGAGACTCAATCAAATTTCTATCCCATTCTGCCTTATGATCTTCCGAAGTAAGAAATTGGTTTTTTTCTGGAAATCTGTTTATGGGTATAAAATATTCCAGGTTTTGTTTTTGTCATGAGAAAGATCACAGTGGTGTACTGAAGAAGGATGCGGACATCAAAGCTTGGAACATTGGGGCTCAACTGTTTTGAAATAAGATGTTGCACGTCCTACTCCCACAACCATTTTATATTTGCTTGTTTAGTGTCTTCAGACCTCAAACATAGTTAGAAGTAATTACTAAAAAATGACCAAGTTGAAATACACAATCCTAAATTAGTACCTCTGTTTACTTCGAAATTAAACCCTGTAATCTGGTATTCCCAACTAGCCCCATTACTCCCAAAACCTATAACATTTCTGGGTTAAATAGAAGGATTTTGCTACCCATTAGCCCCATTATTATTTTTTGTCAAGTTTAAGTCATCAAATATAAAGATAACCATCATCAAGATGAAAACCCATTAACAATATTATACCTACACCTAAAATAGAGAGAGAGAGAGAGAGAGAGAGAGA